TTGAACTGTGCTTGAAGAAATGAAATTGTGTTTAAATGTCTGTGTTTAAATGTCTGTGTATGCTAAGGTTTGGATTTTATTATAATGAAAAATATTTTAGTTATCTCTTTTCGTATCTTCTGTGGGTACTGGCTACAAATATTAGAAGTGATATTTTTGAAGTATAAAACTATCCTACTGTTTTGTCTTTTGAGAATGAAATACGAATTAATTTGCGTGTGATACATATACATTATTCTAATATATAACACAATTCTCTTTTCACATCAAGATAATGTATATATTCCCACAAATACAAACTCTATAATTATGTAATAGAATTTACTTGTTCTCGTAGTGATAATAGTTTTTTTTCTTTTGGATCAAGGAAGAAAACTTCATTAAACCTTAAAAAAAACAATCAAGATACACCCATAAAAAGTGGAGAAATGAGGTGCACCTAGGGTGGCATGATTAAAACTTAGTGGAGGAAAAGTCTGTCATGGAAAGAGTACCACACACCTCCAACAAACTAACACTTAATCTTCTCTATCCGCCAGTAATGTTGACGATAACCAATATGGAGCCAAACCAGCCTAATACAAAAGTCGCTGTTATCGTAAGCCAAAATGAACCAAAGAGTGCAACTTTGCATTCCCTTTGCGAGGTTGGTAAAACACTTCAAGTGCACCAATTCCTCACATCTTCAACTAAATTGCAAAGATTGCTCCAACATTCGCCAAATCTTGTCGCCCTTGAGAATCAAAAGCCAAAATAATGTTACGGTAACCCCGCTATAAAGCCATTAACAATCCTTCTTGCATTGTAACGAGTTTGATACCCCGAACATCAAGCTTAACAGGTCCATCACATGCAAACTTGCAATAAAACTCACCATCATGGTATCGAATTAGCTCGCTAGTCTTCAATCGCTGCCCTTTGTCGCCATCGCACCTTAACAATTAATAATCAGAATAGTGCGGTGGTTTTATCTAGTGAACATGGGGAGGCATCAATGTTGGTTTTTGTCTCGTATTACACTTATGGAAGCTTTCTTTGAACTCGAAAGTCCTCTTAATGGCCTCACCCAATGTGCCTAACTCCATCCCATGCAGAGTAACATTACATATTTCCCAAGAACGCTAGACACAACTTGTAAAAAATTCAAATGGTGTGAGGCCATGGTTGCTGAATTTAATGCTCTTTTCAAGAATTAGACATGAGTTCTAGTTCTTTTTCCTCGTCACGAACTTGTGGTTGGATGTAAGCAGGTTTTTAAGCTTAAACGAAACTCGGATGGGTCTATTGAGCGGTACAAGGCTTGCCTTATTGCTAAGGGGTTCCATCAACAACTTGGTATTGATTTTGATGAGACTTTTAGTCCTGTGGTCAAGCCCACAACAGTTCATATTGTTCTTGCTCTAGCATTTTCGTTTGGTTGGACTGTTCGTTAACTGGATGTGAAGAATGCCTTTCTCCATGGCTATCTGGACACTACTGTTTTTATTTCTCAGCCTCCGGCTTTTGTTGATCCAGCTCGCCTTACTCATGTATGTCGGCTTCATAAAGTCATTTATGGTCTTAAGCAAGCTCCTCGTGCTTAGTTTTAGCGTCTTAGTGGCTTTTAACTCAAGTTTGGGTTTGTTAAGAGTCGAGTTGATCCCTCTTTATTTATCTTTCGCCACTCTTCTAACATTATGGCTCTCTTATTGTATGTTGATGATATTGTTTTGACAGGGAATCTACCCTCTCTCATTTCCTCATTTGTTGTTACACTTTTGGTAAAGAGTTTGAACTTATTGATATAGGTCCGCTCTCTTATTTCTTGGGGCTTGAAGCCACCTCTGGCCTGCTTCTCACAAACCAAATATGTTGTTGATCTTCTCAAACATCATTCCATGACTGATTGTAAGCCTTATAGTACTCATGTTTGTGCCTCTCGTCAGCTATCCTCTCTTGATGATGAGTTATTATGTCTCATTTTCACTAGACTCTACATCTCCTTGTCTTTCATCATATTGCTGGGTTTATGAGTGCTCCTCACTCTCCTCACTTGGGTGTTGCTAATCGTATTCTTTGTTATTTGAAGAGCACAATTTGGTTTGGTCTTTATTTTCGTCAATCTCCGAGCCCCCTTGCTCTTTGTGGTTTCTCTGATTTTGATTGGGCTGGTTATCTTGATACATGTCGTTCGACTATTGGTTTTTGTGTGTTTCTTGGTTCCAACCAACGAATTAAATTTCGATATTAGCGCCGATATTTCGGCAATAATATCGTTTTTTTTTTGTCCCGATATTTTCGCAACATTCCATTTATATTTCGTCAATTTATCGATAATATCCTCGATAATATCGCCGAAATATCGGGACCGATATTTTCGTTCAAATTCAATCTGAAATGGTCAATATATCACGATATTATCGATAATATCGCGATATGAAACTGAAAAATACGAGAAAAATGTTGAAAAGCCTCCATCTTGCGCACAGAGGGATTCGTACCCCCTCCCTTTCTCATCAAAGCCAGCGCCTTATCCAACTCAGCAGCAACTGAGTTTGTGTTTATACCTTCAACTTGTAATATTTATAAGGTCTTTAAAAATGTCTGCAAGCTAATATTATCTAAGATAAATTTCCATATTAAAAAAATTCCCTAAGAATAAATTTAAGCATATATTCAATGTTATTTATTATTTAATAATGGAGTAGTATTTTGTTGTTGTTATATATTATAGAGTTTTATTATTATTCACTTTGAGTTTTAATATTGTTCATTATATGTGATACTAAGTTTGAATTTTAATAGGAATTCTTTATATGTGGTACTAAGTTACTCATACATTTTATCTTTGTTTTTTTGGGTTAAGCTCATATATTTTATCATATGTATCAAGTGTAATATATTGAAGTACATTATTATAACTAAAAAATTATGGTGTGTTTAATTTTCTTTCATTAATTACTACATATTTTCTAAAGTCACAGTGTTTGTCAGGTCGCTACATAATCAACTTAACTCACTCAAACCCACCATGCCATGCATTTCCTTCCAATTTTTTGTGATAAAATAATAGACAATTGACTAAGTAAACATCCTCTAAAGTTTCAATAAAAATTTCCAAGTTTTTCTCATAATTTTCGTGATTTTTATTCAATTTTTATCGATATCGATATTTCCTCGATATTTCCATCGATATATCCGTGTTTTTGGACCACTGATATTTCCGAAACTCCCGATATTTTAGACCTTGGTTCCAACCTTATTTCTTGGTGTGCTAAGAAACAATCGACAGTTTCTCGCTTCTCTACTAAGGCTGAATATAGTTATGTGGCTCTCATTTTTGTGTAGGCACTACATGGATCTCTCATCTCCTTCATGAGTTGGAGCTTCCTTCTTTTGGACCTACCATATTGTTGTGTGACAATCTCAGCACTACCTACATGGCTTCTAATCCGGTGTTTCATGCTCGCACTAAACATATTAAACTCGATTACCACTTCATTATGGATCGTAGTATCTCTGACTCTCACCAAGTTCAATTTGTTTCCTCTTTTGATTAGCTCTGACATCCTCACCAAGGGCCTTTCTACGCATTATTTCCATCTTCCTTCATTCAAATCTCATCTCTTCCACATCATCGAATTTGTGGGGGAGTGTTAGACAACATCCCTGATTTATAGTTGGCTTATAACTAATTATAACTAATTGACGTATATACCGTGATAGTCTCTCAAGTCAACTATAAACTAGGAGTTCCTTTATATATTTTCTGTGGGTTTTGTAACGTTAACTTAGCTGTATATCTACTTTCCTCCAACAGTAAGAAGAATAACAATTCAAATTTCACAAATTTACAATTCCCCACATGTATGTTGTACTAATTAAATTGTCAAAAGAGCATTATACCTATGGCGTTGAATGTGTCCCACATATATCATATTTTTGGCTGTAGAAATCAAAATCTTGGTGATTTGTGGGACCTTATTCCTTGTTTCTGGATGTAATAATCCTTTTTCCCTTTTCTTTTTGTGGGGTTTCTTGATGTAATGATTGAAACAGGCTTTGTCATCTTCAAAGGATGCATGATACTTAAACGTTAAGATTTTCAATCATTTACCTAATATTGTTCTTTATGACTGAGTCGTTTCTCTTTATTTGGATTTAAAGATGTTGATTCGAACAAGGAAGCCTGTATATGTTGCCACCCACGAATAAAGTTGTACAGGTAAACAGTGGAAAGCACCTAAACATTTGTGTGTTTTGTATACGTGTGGGTGAGAGGGAAAATAGACAATTAGACCTGGCCACTAAATAATAGTAATTAGTGGGAGGCAGCTCTAAAGAGCAAAAGAAAGACATAGCAAATAGAAAGAGAGTATTACTCCAGTAGGCAAAGAAAAGTAGTTGGTGGGGACCCACTTTTTGTGGACGAACATTAGTAGGGAAAAGATACTAGCTAAATTCAGAGTTAAGGAGGGAAGTATTGTCCTTAACTTCTTGTTTCAAAGAACTATTTTGCGACTTTGTTGATAGTTATCAACTTATGAGACTCCTCTGGTTTCTTTTATTTTATTTTTATGATCTTGATCTAATCAATAGTTATTTGAACTTTCAGTTACCAATATTTTTATAATTAGAACCAAACAATCGATTGAGTTGCGTATGATATGTTGAAAGCTGAACTTCACTTTATAATTTGTATCTGAATCATGACATCAATATGTGGTCCATGGTCGGTGGTACGTGGCAGCTGCTTATTTAGTCAGCTTTCAAGAACTTAAACCTGCTCCATATTTATATAATATTCTCACCGTCCATAATCATCCTACTAGACCTGGATTACCAAAAGGAAAATCTTTATGTAAATCTAGCCCTTCTAAGCATCTCTGTGTCGAAATTGACAACAACGTTGATGTTACAATTTAAATATACTAAACACTAGCTCTATATAAATCATCTTCGACCACCACAAACTTTCCCCCAAAACGAACTAGCTAGCAACCATTATCCCATAGCGAAGCTCCATAATTAGAAAAACCTTTTGAAATTTAGTTCAGAAGTTTCATCCAAGTGTGTCTGGAGTGCAGATTCTAGCTACAAATTAAACATGAGTGGAGGTTACTATTCTTCTTCTAATTCCCAGCATGATCATCATCATCACCCTACCTTCCCTCTGCACTTATGTTTCTTCCTTCTTGTATTGCTCACGTTTGTTGGGTTTTCATGGTACATAAACTACGAGTCTCTGCTGGAGGGCATTTTTGATCAGGTGAAACTGGTGCTCATGGTGTCTCCCTTGCTGTTGTTACTAGTGGTGCACTGGCTTTCCAACAATGACCGGAGGCGGGTGCCCTCTCTCATACCCTTACCTGAAAAAGACTCCCTTCATAGGGCTGGAGGAACTCCATGGGGAGTTGGATTTCTGCTTGTTTTCCTGTTTTTTATGATTTCTTACCAGTCTTACTTTCAAGAACGTTGGTTTCCTCTTCTAAGCAGATAGCACCACTTCTACGTAATATACTTTACTGTTGTTATTATATGTGTAAATCAGGTTTCTGCAGCAGCAGGAGAGTTCTGGAACTTCTGAAATGGCATCTTCTTTTCCCGTATTGTAGTGAAGTTGAATTATATACAAACGGAGTTGTTATAGTTTTATTAATTTGCTATCTTATATGGTGCAATATTATATGTAAAAATATTCAAATTAAAGGTTGCAACACATAACTATATACACAAGTAATAATAGTTAAATAATTGGTAACTCCTCATACTAAATAATTGGTTGGCCGCAAGAAAATCGAAGTTCGATTTAGGCTTTAAATAGCTTCAGGCCTCAAATTAGTTAGCATAACCGAGTCAAACCAACCTTTGAAGCATGTCCTTGGCTAGTGCAGTATAACTACAGTGCAACTACAACACATTATGTTTGCATTATTATACCAAAATATATCCCTATAATAACAACTCTAAATCCCAAATGAACACATTAAACTTCTTAAAACATATTCTCTAAATCCCAAATTAACCCAAAACAAATATATTTTATAAAGAAACAAGTATGTGGAGTTTGAACTACAATTACACCATTTATAATTGCAAATTAATGGACACTCTACGGTGATCGGTTGAGAACCTTGCGGAAGTAAAAGTACATGGATGCACACGATTGAAAACGTGAATTATACGTATATAACCACCTGCCAGGTCCTTGCTAGCAACATCAATATTGTCTCTAACTTAACTATCAATTTAGTAGGTGTGGGGTTTTATACAAAATGCTTCGATATTATTAAGAGTGAAGCCATTCATTAAATAAGACTATCTATTTTGTTAAGTTTCCGTGTTTAGTAGGTGTGAGGTTTTATACAAAATGCTTCGATGTTATTAGGAGTGGAGCCATTCATTATATGAGACTATCTATTTTGTTAAGTTTCCAATGTGGGATTGTGTGTATTCTTCAATAGACATTTGGTCGAGGCTTTAAGTGTTCATGGAGGACACGACGTTATGTTGATGGGGTCCGTGCAAAGGGATTTTACCAAAGGTGATATCTCATCAATCTTATACAAATCAAATAGCCAGATCGGTTTTTGTTGCAACCAAAGTGGCTCCGATGAGGGTAACTCAAGAGAAAGAAGATCTGCAATGAATGACATTTTGTTTTTACTTTTTCTGACGGAGAGAAATTGTATAGAGGGGCTAGAGTTTATTTTATGTATTCTTCTTCCTTTAAAAATAGGTGATTTCGATTATAAGATGACATGCCAAACTATGCGCCATTATGTCAGGGGAAAAATTTAGCAATGCCCTTCAACCCCAATTTTGGACTTTGGGCATCTTGTTGAACAGTTGAGGCTAGGGAAATTAGAGTAAGGGATAGGATTAAGGCGTGCCAAAGAAAGTCCAAACTTCATTTATGAAAATTAGCGTTGGAATTGATTTGAACTTGCTAAAATTAGAAATGTTCCGATTGGAATCGGAATTTCCAATATGCCAGAAATTATAATAATTTTTCAAGATTTTTTCAATTTTGAACAAATTTTAACCTTTCAAATGGACATGTTTAAGCAGACATGATATTAGCCAAGTTGGCTAGAGTGGATGTGCTCTCCACTCTGCACTCGTATTCGAATCACACTACGCGTAGTTCAAATTAGTTTAAAATAGAATATTGCATGTATAAAAAATAAAAAAAAATTGGCATGTTTAAAATTTTGAACTATTATCCGATGAATTGGAATAAATGTTGAAATTCAATTCTTTTGGAACGAAATTGGAATAGAATCTTCATTCCGAAATTTTTTAGATTAGAATTTGAATCCCTTGATTCCCATTCGTTCCATCTGAAAATCAAGCCTAGATAGAATGAATTAGTGGGGTTCAAAAGCAAATTAAAAATTCATAGGAAAAAATGGAGCACGGCCTATAATTCATGAGATGTTGCTAAATTTTTCCCTTTCTATCCATTCATCTATTTTATCTCTTTTTTTTATATATTATGAATGGAATGTGTTGTGATTTCAGCAAAATGGTGGAACCATGTCATGATGGCATCAGTTCAGTGCTGAAAATAATCTGAAAAGAAAAATAAAAGTCTCATCCAACATCAACGTTATCTTCTCGGCCTTAGTGGGTTGGTGTTGGTGAAGTGACGCACTTGATTTATCATCGTCCACTTTCATTTGCTTTATGATTTCTAAGTTCAGACTCACAACACTTGGAAGCTGTTGTTTCTGTACAAATCATCACCATCCCTTGAACTCTGGCCCGCATGATTTTGTCCATTGTCTGTCGTTGTCGAAGAAGCTACTCCCCTCATCATCAACTGCACTTCACTGCAAAAGCTACTCCCCTCATCCCTTGAACCCTATCCATTATGTAATAATCAATAAAAGAAAATACCTTTCAAAAAAAGCATGCGGTGTAAAATTAATGGCGACTCTAATCGCTAATTAATCATAAAAGAAGTGACTACTAACAATTAACAAAGGCATATATCTATATATATATATATATGTATGGATGACCCAAACGCCACCACACCACCACCGGTCTACCACCTCAATTTCTCTTGCATATAAATAGCCGAAGCATCTAGTGGATTTGGAACTCCTCCATTCTTGTGATGTAACATCTTGGGTTTGCATTAATTTGCTGCTATATTCATAAATTTGTTGCACAAAATGGCATTGGTGAGACTACCAGTCGTCCTGGTCCTGCTGCTAATTATATCAATAAGCTTGGGAATGGCAGCAGCAGATTCAGCAAAAGATAGAGACGAATGTACGCAGCAGTTAGTAGGGATGGCCACGTGTCTGCCTTACGTTCAAGGCCAAGCTAAGTCCCCAACACCAGACTGTTGCAGTGGTCTCAAGCAAGTCCTCAACAGCAATAAGAAATGCCTTTGCGTTATCATTAAAGATCGCAATGATCCAGAACTGGGTCTGCAGATAAATGTCACGCTTGCTTTGGGCCTGCCTTCCGTATGCCAGGTCCCTGCTAATGTCTCAAAGTGTCCCGGTATGTTCTACACCCTACTACACTACTAAAATTACAAAAATCGAAACCCCGAGAAATTGCAATATAGTCCATGATTTCTAGTTGCCTATGTTGATTTGGGATGGAATGAGCCAGTTTTTACTAGTAATTTTGACACTTTCCTTTTGGTTGATTATATTGATATATATATATATATATATATATATATATATATATATATATATATATATGTATGTATACAGAACTTCTGCATTTGGATCCTAAATCACCAGAAGCTCAAGTTTTCTATCAATTGGAAAGGAACTCTACTCAAACTGCCAACTCGAGTCTTGCTCCAAGTCCTAGTGGTACTATATACAATCATTCACTTCATATTTTCATATTCAGATTTCACAATCGTGAACCGTGATGTTGAAGAATTATTAGATTCTTATTTTCTTCTTAAATAATGAACTAAATATGACAATTTTGGGTTCTTTTCCTACGTAGCAGTTGGGGCTCCCGCCAGTGCCAAAAGTGTGGGGTCAAGTTCTAGCAGCCGAAACAAAGTCGGTGTGTTGCAGTGGAAAGAAAGAGACTCGTCCTGGTGTTTCGCCTTAATGGTTTTCTACTTGTTCATCTAGATACTTGTAGTCGGATTAAACTCTTTCATCAGAACCTCAGATTTTGAGACAGGTTGACATAGTAACTGCCTTGCCTTCATTGTATGACTTATGATTTTCGTTCCAAGAATAAAAAAAAACATAACTCAGCTCTTTCTTCAAGGGCTTCCATATACATGTACTCGTGCAAATTACAATTTATATATGAAGAAAAAAAATAGTACGACCAAAGAATACACAAGCTCTCCCTCCGACTTTCTGTTCAACAATTGTAATCGTTACCTTCTAGGTTATCTTTTAAACAATATTTTTAAATAAAAAATCAATTAAATTGAAAGGCCAGAAGGCAGTAGCACCTCTTTGGGACAAACCATCGAACAGGTGGTGGGCTCCTGGACTAGCGACTAGCAGGGGTCAAATTTTTTTCCCCAGGAAGTGGTTTCCGGCTTGCGGGGGTCCACCCTTGCCCCACTATAGGTCCGCCCCAACTATACGCATGTGAAGAGAGAATTGAGATCGGGGCGACTTTTCAAAGGCAAACAACCACAATTCGACCTATGGTTGGGCATTTCCACCAAGAAACTGGTCAAACTCGCTGAACTGCATCAGTCAGGCAGATTTGCTTAGTACCATTTGTAACCATTTCAATTTTAGTTTTTATTTTATAACCATTTCAATTTTAGTTTTTATTTTTTGTGTTAGTATAGAGAAAAAAGAGGGAGAATGAAAGTGAGTATGAGAGCGGAGATGAGATTGAGAGGGAAGATGAGAGGAGAGGATGAGATGAAGGAATAATAAAAATGAAAACAAAAACTAAAAATTGAAATATATTTCAAGATTGTGGTTTCACTTTTGTTACTCCTCCTTCTCATCCTCTCTTTGAATCTCATCCTCACTCTCATTTTCCTTCATACTCTGGCACAAAAAATAAAAACGGTTTAAAATCGAATAGGGCCCAACCGAATAGAAGCGACAGTGGCTAAAAATGTTAAATATGTTAAAGTTGGAGTAAGAAGGTTTCAAACCCCTAACCTCCAACTCACATAACCATTTACCACTGCACCACAACACTTCTTCATTCAAATTCAGTATTCGTAACATATTTAATAGTATCATTCGAATAAAATTAAAAAAAAATATTTATTTATTAAAAAATCCTAATATCACCCTAACACTATTGCAGCCCCTAAGCCGCCGTTGGTTCGATCGTTGGTTTGTGCCTCTCAGTTTGGCTGTCGAATTGAACCCGCCCATATTCTCTCCATGTCCCCACCCCTATTCTCTCATATGAGAGTGAGTTTGACTTGTGACGCCATTTTCTTCACACTGACGAGTCATGAGCTCAAATCAGAGCTTGGCACCTAAACGTATAGTTTACTCGATTTGTCCTTACGTGCGTGTTGCTCTAATTCTTCCTCAATTGCCTCTGCTAGCTGTTATCTATCTATCTATCTATCTATCTATCTATCTATCTCTCTCTCTCTCTCTCTCTCCAACTTTTCCCTTCCTCTCTCTTCCACCAATGCATGGTCAACTTTGCCTTGTCATCGCATCGCCTCACCACCTTTCCTCTCTTTCTGTTTATGGTCATCATTGGTCAAATCTCACCAAGAAACCGAGTTGATTTCTCAACAAACTGACCAATCAATGGAACCATCAATGTTCGGAAAAGATGAACCGTAGAGCTTGATTCAATGGGTGATTTCCAGCCAACAACATGGGTGGGTTCAGTTGCCTAGGCCTAACCCCACCCCTACCCCAACAACCCCTCCTCACATAAGAATTTTCAGCTGAAATGGGTATGAACATAAAACTAGTGGCGGATCCAGAATTATGTGGCAAAAGGGGGCTTAGTGTAAAGTTTTAAAATTTTTCTACAAAGAAAATAATGCTAAAAAGATAGAAAGATAGTACTTTTATTCATAATTCATAACAAAACCAATAATACAAGTTACAATTGTCCACAAGGAGTTTTCATATTTTGAAAACGTTGCATTATAGTTTTGTTATCAATACAAACAAAAACATCTCTCTCAATGTAAATATGCTCTTCGGATCTCATCCCAAATATTAGGACCACAATCCGTCATTCAAGTTCTTAGTCCAGGATTTGCTTGAAGATTAGCTAATATCTCATCTACTTCAATTGGTCTTGCATTTGAAATACCCAGATGAGATGGAGAAGGACTATCCGTAGATAATTTTTATTTTATAGAATCGTTCCATAAATCTACAAATCAATTAATTCAATCAATCATTAATTTTTATCCAAATTATTATATGAATATGAAAATGTCAATAACCCACTCTCAATATTCAATATACTCCCTAAACGCATATCAATCAATATTCAATATACCAAATTATCATATCAAATATCAATCAATATTCAATATACTCAATCAATTCACATTATCAATCAAGCATAAACTCAATCAATCTCCATTATCCGTCAATATGATTCATATCCATATCCATAAATTTCATTACATTTTTAAAAAAAAAATTCAATATCAACAATATATTATCACTATAATTATTAATATAAATTTTGCCTTGCTTACTTGTAGTTGAAAAAAAGGGCGGCGGACGGCGACACAAGGTGTAGGTGATCGGCACTGGGCCACCGGCAAAGAGTTGATGGAGGTTGGGAAAGGTAGGGTTTGAGAGGGTGGGAAGAGCTATGAAATTGGGAATGAAGGGTTAGGAGGTGTTGTGCAGAGTCGGTAAGTGAAGCTGTGTTCTTATTTTCTTTTTCTTTTTTAAACCTGGCCCAAAACAATGTTGTTTCGAGGCTAGGTCAATTAAAAATATTTTGACTAAGCGTTGGACCAAACGACGTCGTTTGGCAAGGCTCGTTTAAAAAAAAAAAAAGAGACGCACAGCGCGCGAGCGCAAGGCACAACCCAGCTGCATAGTAGAGGAAGCAATGGCCTGGGACTTTCGTCGAGCAGTTGGTGTGCATACAAGGGGTCGTCCAGCAGCTATCCAAAGGGGCGTTCATGGAGTCCCTTTCCAACTTTCCAAGGGGTCGTCTGACCCCTATTGTCCCAACGTGCATCCGCCCTTGCATAAAACTGCAACAAATTTATTTTGTTATAAACCTACTATCTCATATTTGCATAGATGCCCTTCATTTAAATACGCCACCACATACTAATAGTGTCTTAGTAGTGATCACTTATTTATTTAATCTCTTTCTTTCTCTCTCGACAACCCTTCCTCACTATGCAAATAAATCTATCATTTTTAATGATTTATTTTATCAATTTTCTTTAATTTGTGGTCTTTCTATGGTCACGTCATGGGTTAACAGTAGAGGTGTCGAATAAGGTCATTGGTCAAATATAACCTTAAAATAATGCAAAACCCATCTCTAGTCATGGGTTAAAAAAAAAATTTTGGCCAAATTTGGAGGGCCATATTTGGCCCTTTAGCCCTCTAACAAGGCTACTTGTAGTTCAGTTTTGGCCTAGGCAAAATTGTTTTGTGGGCCCAATACATGTGCTTTCTAAGGAAAGAAAGTATCACGCGTGGGTAAGAACACGAAACATTTCGTGCAACTGCATATCCAATAGCCAATATTAAAGGCTCGCTGATGTCATCGATGACATCAGCTAGCTATTAGGTTTTTTATTATTTATTTTTTTTATAAAAAATAACCTTTTTAAATGTTTTCAAATTCGTTTTGTTTTAATATATATATATATATATAATTGGTTTTTGACCAGTCAGAATCATTGATTGAAAAGTTACTTTTTTATTTTATTTAAAACCTTTTAAAAAGTTTTAAATTCATTTTGTGTATAAAAAAAAAAAAAACCATACACGTGTCATATATGGAATATTATCTCTAAATACTAGTTTAATTAAATTAAACAATACATAGTTATGGAATGTATGAGTGTTGTACCATAGTTTTTCTCAAAATAATAAAATATGAAGGACCCTAAAAAATAGCTTTGCATGGTTGGAGGTGGAAAAATTTAACTCCACACTATTCTTTAAAAAATTAATATTTTGAAGAGCTAAATTTATAGCCATGGACTACATTTAGCCCTATAACTGGAGATGGCTTAAATCTATAAGCTTTTCAATAATCCCTTAATATCTTTCGTTGGAGGTTGAGAGCCTTGCAATACTTTGATTAAATTTGTGATATGTGACACTTGGTTGTAAGGATAGCAACGGGTCAGGTATGACAATACCATCCCTGTCCTTGAACTCATCTCCCTTTAATAAGTTTCGGGGAATCCCTATCCCCGTCCCCATCGGGGGAATATCCCCCATACCTGCCCCGAACCCATTCTCGTTTAATAAGTTTCGGGGAATCCCCATCCACATCATCGTTAGGGGACTATCTCTTATACCCGCCCCGAATTCCTGATTTTTTTTTCAATAAAAAATAATTATCATATATTTTAACATTAAATTTTATTTTAAATTATCATTAGCACATCCAAATTAACTATAAAGTTCAACTCAACTATTCAAAATCACATCAATTCAATTTGACAAAATAAAAATAAAAATAAATAAAAATAAATATATATATATAATCCAAATCTTCATCATGATCATCTTAAAAATATAAATGTTTATTTATTAAATATAAACATATATATTTTTGGGTTGGGTTTGGGGACAGGGATGCTAATACCATCCCCATTCCATACCCGTCGAGGATTTTTCAAGTTCAGGAATTCCGATAGCCGATACCCGTTTTTCCTTGAAATCTCCCTTAATTAGGGACGGGGACCCGCTCCCCGCAGGGATTTCTGCCATCCCTATGGGTGCGCCCCTCCTATTTCCATTAGGTATTTACTTTCTGAAGACTTGTAGGTCTTGACCAAGAAAGAAGAAGACTTATGTAGGTTTTAGTTGGGTAGTCTTGTTGGGTTTCAGCCAATCCCTAATTTGAAAGCATTTTATAATTCAGTAAGAAGAAAAATAAAAATATAAAGAAAAAAACAAACCCACCGGTCATGGTTGGACCATAACTATCTTTATTTGACGATGATGCCTAGCAGTTGCAAGTTGCAAGTTGCAACAACGTACACTCTTTGTCATTCAAACTTCTGGGAAGGAAGAAGGACTGGCTGTTGATGGTTGAAACTTGATGAACAAAGTGGGACCCTTTCGACAGTAGATTAGGCATATACGATGTGAGGCATTCAACTCATCCACTTTACTTTGTTTCCATTTTTCTTATCTTGTGCTCGCTTCAATAAGTCCAACCCTTTTGTTTATAGGCATATGTCAGAGGGGACAATACTGTCTTTTAAAACTTTTCAATTCTAGCGCTTTAAATTTCCGAGATCAGTTATGGGCTTAATGACGGCACACTCTGACCAAAGAAAAAAAAATTAACAATGACAACTTCGTTAAGAGAAGAAAAAAATAACAAGAGGATTTCTTCTTGACGCCAAAATAGAGAACCTTATTCTGTCCACAAAGAATCTAAGATAACACAAGAAGACTATAAATTTGTCCGGAGATATCTACAAAGACCCACCGGGGATTTCCTTTTGGCATATGTTTTGATCGTTTTTGTTTTTGTTTTTGCGGGTCTCCTCTGCTCTTTCCTGTTCCTGAGCAGTAACCACCCGAGTCAACAACCACCCTTGATAGGTATCCTTCGTTCCCTTCCACTTATTACAAGTATCTTTCTGATATTTTAAGCTTTGGTTTTCCATGCCAGCAGCATTTGTCGTCGGTTTTCTACTTGCGTGTTCTTCTTTCTGCATATGCAATTGCAATTGCAATTTCTTGTTTCTTCTTCTTTTACTTGCTTGCTCTGTCTTTAGTATCTGATCCAACACGTTTACTTTATCTTTTGTAGAGCCTATTAATTCATAAGATGATGAAGCTCCTGGTTCACTAGTTATTCAATTGTTGGCTTAGTAACATAATTTTCTTCCTTAGGTTTGAAATTCTGTTACTAAAAATTCTTAACCTCATGCTCTGCTCGTGAAATCTTGATATATTGCTTTGACCTTTGTTTTTATTGTTCAATGTCATGTTTATTTATCTTCCTGTTACTTGTTCCTCAGAGTTCCTTCTATTTCTCTTATGCAGCACCTAGAGTTTATAATAAACTACGGATAAAAAAAGGTCCAAATAAATGTTTCTGTGACATATCTCTCTTTTTCTTTCGAGGCCAATGGGGGAAATATATCAGATCAATTTACCAAAATTTTAATTTCTTGTGCTGGTAAAACAAGGACCAATTCAATGAATATGTTGATAAATTTTTAGAACCATATATTGCCGAGAAGTGAACAATTAAAGAAAGCTAGTTACAGTATGGTTTACTTAACCTGGATAAAAAGATGAGAATGCAAAATTTCAATAGAATGCAGTTTTGCAATTCCAACTAGAGTTTCCTCTCAGAAGCTTAATAAAACATGCTTTGCAGGTTTCCTTTAGTTTGAAACTGCCCTTATGGCTGATTCCACTGAAGAGGATGATTCATTCACCAAGCCTCTTGGAAGATGTACTGTCACTTATTATGGCGTGGGGCATATGCTCAATGACATTACTGCTTCCTGTTGGTTTACATATCTCTTATTGTATCTGACAGATATTGGACTGTCCCCAAGGTACATATCAGTGATATCACTTAGTTTGTATGTATGTGTTTGTGCACACACATTGACATGTGCACTCTTGCTTACGTTGTAATACATACATACATACATACAGACAGATTATGGTGAATGAGCTTGGATGTCATGTCAGTGAAACTTTCAAGTACTAGAAACACATTATGCTACAAATAGCCCATTTTAATGCAGAGTTTCTGTGGTAGGAAAAGTAGGACTAGATTTGTATATATGAAAAAATATATATATAATCAGGTCGCAAAAATGAAGGTGATTAGCCCCTGTTGAGGGTTTGTCTACAATTGTCAGATAGGAGAGAATGCAGATAAGCTTGTCAGGATGATTTAGACTAACTTTTTCCGGGAACACGATCTCATTATCATACAAAGACCATCTAAATTTGGATGGAAGACTTAAAATTCCTCAACACGGGACTTTATATTCTCAACATGCCCGCTCACGTGTGGCTGAAAATAACTAAGCACATGGATCAATTATATAGGGTGACGTGAAGCACGTGTTATAGTTAGAGCATCCAAACCAAAAACCAATTGACAAATGGGACTGTGATGCAAGGCTTAGAACTCCCGTTGTGGGATTTGCTATTCTCAACATTATTGTATTATCGTCTTATTGTTTCAGCATTTTGTATCATCGAGCTCTACAGATCTGTTTCTTTAAGTTGCATTTTCTGTTTCGACTGTATAACTGTTATATATTTTTCTAATTTCGATCTAGGGATGCTGCTACGGTTATGCTTTCTGGTCAAATAGCTGATGGATTTGCAACCATATTTGCTGGCGAACTGGTATCTTAGTTATAAATTATATCCTACATGCATGATGAGTTATTGCGCAGCGTACAAACTGATATTTCTTATCTGGCCCATTGCTTCTTTGCATACATTCTGACACTCGTTCCTATCCATTTTTCACTATTCTTCAATAAAGCACTTAGTTTTACAATTACTTGTAAAATGTTGTTCTCTCTGTGCAATTTTTTTTTGCCCAAATTTAGGAAGGGGGAGGGGGAAGGGGGGAAACTCACACACACACAAGTACCATGGGAGCTTGAACCCAGGACCACTTGGGAGCACACTAAAGGCCTTGACCAGTCCAACTAACACCCCATTGGTCTCTGTGCATTTAACCTCTACTCTTCTGTAATTTTTGGCTGCACTTCACATGGATTTTTCCTTGCCCAGTCATTTTACATGGCCTAAATTTTGTGCTTTTGCTTCTATCATGATAATGGAATAGGAAATTATAGCATTGAGCAGCTTTTTTATTTGTTGTTCGAGTCCATATGTATTTATGGACAAGCTGGTGGTATTAGATATGGTTATTATATGTTCAAGGATCACGTCCTTTTTGATTGGGGGAAATATAGAGACTATCGAATCGAGATGATTTTTGGACAGTGTTATATAACCACATGAGAAGACAGGAAAATTTGTTCAGAATCTAGTAAAGACTTCATTGATCTCTGTTCTAGCTGCAGATGCAAGAGTAGAATGACAAGGCCTTTGTGATCCGATCCACCTATTCTATTTCCCAAATAATTGAAATCATAACAGGCCAGAAGAAAAAAAAAAACCAATTAATTATTGTGAAATTTGCTTATTTCCTTTTCAGTTTTGGCAATTGCAACCACCCCTTTTTTTGGGCAATAATATTCTGTTTCTATTTTTAACTTGATAGATAGACAGGTTTGGACATTTCAAATTGTGGCATGGTGCAGGCTCTGTTTTGGTTGCTATTTCTTTTTCTTCTGTTTTTGGTGGTTGCATGCCCTGTAAAATTTTTGGTACCTCTTCATCAACATTGCGAACTGTTGGTTACAGTATGTTTGCTGCTATATTTAATGTGGGTTGGGCAGCTGCTCAGGTTTCACACATGTAAGTACTTCCTCAAAGTTTACAGTAAAATTTTATAAGTGTAACACCATTTGATAAGATGGTGAACCTAGTGTTGTTGAAGAACAAAACATCTTCATCCTCTGTTATAATTGAAATGACCTACACAGATCCTGTTTTTGTTTTTCTAACAAATTGAAACTTGAAATGGCAGCATTGCCATTTTCAGTTTGCTATGTAGTTCTGTATTTTTTTTTCCTTGATTCATGTTTGTCGTTCATTCGTTTTAGGACTGATTATTACATAGAGTGAACAGAGCTATTTTCTGAAATGCAATAAGCTTGGAGCATTAGTGAGCCTGCTCCCCCCACCCCCTCATTTTAGGGAAAAAAAATTGAAAAGGCATGTTCTTTTGGGCTTTGGAATATCTGAGCACTTATGAAAAATAACTGTTCTATTGCAGGTCTATGTTGAATTGCATTACACTGAATTCAACAAGCAGAGTGATCCTAGCTAGCTGTCGAAATGCTTTTACTATGGTTAGTTTCCCTTTGAATTTTTGAATTGATTAATCAGCTCCATGTTTTTTTTTTTTTTTTTTTTTTTTTTTTTTTTTTTTTGTGTTTGTGTTTATTGAATTTTTTTAAACCTTTTAAAGGTTGCCAACCTCAGCCTGTATGCAGTTGCTTTTATAGTCTTTGGTGTCACTATGGCAAGCACACATGCCGACATTGAAAATCAGGTATTGTCATCTTCTAAGCATTTGTGATCTACCTATTAAGGGCTTCCCTTCAAGCATGTCCATCACATCACTATCGCAAATGAGCAGTACCGGTGGATTGCATATTTGTCAATCTTCATAGGATGCTGCTTTGTGGGTATATTTCATCTCGGAACCAAAGAGCCAAGGTTTGCTGATTTTTCTTTTTCACTTTTGATTCATAATGTTCACCAAATACTGATTTTTATTTATCATTATCATATTATAAGAAGCATTTTTTTATGCGGGCTGCAAGAAGAATATTTGTATTTATTTTACAAAAAGCACCTGTCTATCAGGCCCCCTGCACCTGTGTGGGGATTTGAACAATTGCTCTTCTGTCAACACCTATTTCCTCCTGATTTGCTCATTCTCGGCTTACCTGTTTCTGATTCCCAGGCCCCCTGTTGTTGAAACCCAACAAAATAGCACTAGATTGCTCCCTGATTTTCATTCTCACTGAGTTCTCAAAAAACCGTTCTAGCGTCTTACAGGTCAGAGGTCCAGAAGCAGCAAGACTTTCTCCCTGTTCTTGGTTTAACTGTTGGCTGTTGCTGATTCATCAACTGTTTTGCTCTCTAT